GGAATAATGCAATAGGGTCGGGAATGCGGAATTCCGCGGGAATGCAGAATTCCAGAGGGTCGGGAATGCGGAATTCCATGGGAATGCAGAATTCCAGAGGGTCGGGAATGCGGAATTCCACGGGAATTCCCGGACCTGGCTCTGGCCACCACGAAGAGCAGCAGGGGCAGGAGTTCGTCCATCGGGAGCCGCGAGCCCGGAGCCGCCAGAGCCCGGCAGGCGCCGCCCAGGAATTCCAGCTTTTCCTTCGGATCCACCGTGGTGCTGCCGGAAAAACAGCGGGAAAAATGGGGAAAAATGGGAAAAATGGGAAAAAACAGGGAAAAAACGGGGAAAAACTGGGAATAATGGGGAAAAATCCAGGGGAAAAATAAGAATAAATAGAAAAAATGGGAAAAATGTGGAAAAAACTGGGGGAAAATGGGAAAAATGGGAAAATATGAGAAAAATGGGAAAAAATGGGGGAAAATGGGAAAAAATGGGAAAATATGAGAAAAATGGGAAAAATGGGAAAAAACGGGAAAAATGGGAAAAAAATGGGGAAAAACTGGGGAAAAATGGGAAAACATGAGAAAAATGGGAAAAATGGGAAAAATGGGAAAATATGAGAAAAATGGGAAAAAATGGGAAAAACGGGAAAAATGGGAAAAAAATGGGGAAAAACTGGGGAAAATGGGAAAAATGGGAAAAATCCAGGGAAAAAACTGGGGGAAAATGGGAAAAATGAGAAAATATGAGAAAAATGGGAAAAATGGGAAAAAACTGGAAAAAACTGGGGGGAAATGGGAAAAATGGGAAAATATAAGAAAAATGGGAAAAATGGGAAAAAATGGGAAAAAAAATGGGGAAAAATGAGAAAAATGGGGAAAATGGGAAAAAATGGGAAAAATGGGAAAAAAGAGGGAAAAACAGGGAAAATGGGATTGGGAATAAATCTAAGGAAAAAAATTGGGATGAAATTGGGGTTTGAGGGATGGGAAATTCTGGGATTTCCAGGATGGAATTCCAGCTTTTCCTTCGGATCCACCGTGGTGCTGCCGGAAAAACAGCGGGAAAAATGGGGAAAATGGGAAAAATGGGAAAAAACAGGGGAAAAAATGGGGAAAAACTGGGAAAAATGGGGAAAAATCCAGGGGAAAAATAAGAATAAATAGAAAAAATGGGAAAAATGTGGAAAAAACTGGGGGAAAATGGGAAAAATGGGAAAATATGAGAAAAATGGG